TTAAAGAATATTGAGAATAAATATATGTATTTAATTTCATCTTAGAGTGAGAAAAAGGATATAGCTTGCAGTGTCCCCTCACCACCCCCCGCCCCCCAACTACGGTGTATAAAGGCAGTAACACTGAAAGATGTGGTCTACTACATTTTACTTCTCTGCATGAGCATGAGCAAAATCAGTTTCTGGAACTGCTACCTTGACAATGAGCATTGAGAAGCCCCTGGTAGGAAAAAGGATCTGAACCAGGAACGTGACAGCTCTTCTAAATTTGTCAATGTTTGGGACATTCTTTAGATTTCAATTAATGGGGTGACTTAAAAACTCAATGAGGAATATGGTGAAAAAAAGATAGCCAAAGAATATATGTGCATATGATTTGTACAGTTTTTTCAGTTGTTAGGCAGGTGAAGGGTTTATTATATATTATACCTTATTGTTTAATCACGTATAGAGTAGAGTCTGCATCTCTAAATGTATGAAGCATAAGGTAAAGAAAAAAAAAGATGAATGGGAATATTAAGCAAACATAAGCTTCCAGAACATCACTTTCACAAGTAATATTACCAGGAAGTTAATTTGTTTTCTAGTTTGTTTCAGTTTATTTTAAATTATCATCTGCTTTTGGCAAGAAAAAGTATATCCTTTGATGTAGAAAACACAAGTTTTTAGGGAATAGAGGGTTAAATCAAGAGTTAAATTCCCAAATTAAAAGTGAATGTATGAAGAGAACAAACAAAGCATGTACCAGCCTACACTATTGTTGAATTGATACATGGTGTCCGTGTGTGTGTGTGTGTGTGTGTGTGCATGTGTGTAGACATAAAGCAATAGTCTTAGAAAATAAAACTGGAACATAGGTAATGAAAACATATACTTACCCCATATTGCCATAAATATAGCAAAGAAGACTGTCCCTCCATTATCAAACAAATATGTCACCTTAATGGAAAAAAAAAAACAAAAATATTAATCATACTACTGATCGTAATAATCTGGTGACTACTATTTGAATGCAGGCAATATGATTTTTTCCCAAATAAAATCACAGTATTTTTCACAGTTTGTGAATGTATTATAAAAGAGCCTTTAATGGGTTCTGGAAGAGTTTTATGTAATTTTCTCATAGGAAGAAGTGAGAGATCAACCTTTTCCTCTTTTCTTCTCTTGTTTCTTAGAACACAACCTGCTCTTCTGTTTAGAAGCATTTCTAGCACCACGAGGAAGCATCTGTGGGACACAGATAGTCAAGCTACCATGTGGGATGTAAGAACTTAGCTTTTCAGGTAACCTAGATGCACTTCCAATTAGCACAACTTCCACAAATGGGAAAGCTGCCAATTGCAGAATTCTGCCAGTAAGCTAACACTTCCAATAGAAAGGCATCATGGTAGTATCACTCTCATGCTTTCAGAACATGCCCTGCTAGCAGAAGCTTTTAAGATGTCATAAATCTACTCTGAGGCTGTTTTAAGAAGTTTCCATGAATCATTGAACAGTTATGATAGAGTTGAATGTTTTTCAATCAGATATCACCTGAGTTGGGTAAAGAACAAGGTACAGTTATGTGATGTCATTGAATACAACATAATCCTTGAGGTTGTAAGAACTGTTTGATTTAATAAAATTCAAATTTAAAATATTCAATTTACCTTGTTTTTGCTTGTATAATATGATCATTATATTTATAAACTGGTGTGTGGGGTTAAATTAATATGGCCAAAGACATAAATGCTTTTCATACACATAACTCTTGTAGTAGCTACAACAGTTCTGCCTTATCTGTGCGGATTATTCCAAGTCCCTCAGTCGATGCCTGAAACTAATGATAGTACCAAACACTGTGTGTACTGTTTTTTCCTAAACACACATAACTATGATAAAGCTTAATATATAAATTAGACACTTATGAGATTAGTAACAGAAAAAAAAGAATATCATGATATAGAAAAGTTATGTGAATGTGGCTTCTCTCTCAATATATGTTATTTAATTATTCTGCTTATTGTGGTGATATGATACAATGTCTACATGTTCAGATGAAGTGAGGTGGATAATTTTAGGCTGCGATGTTAGTTACTTGAACATAAGTCCATGATACTATGACTGTTGATCTGGTAACTGAGATGGCTACTAAATAATTAATTGGTGAGTAGCATATACCACATGGATATATGAATAGAGGGATGATTCACATCCTATGAGGGACAGAATGGGACTGCAAAAGGTTTCATCATACTCAAAATGGCATGCAATTTAAAACTTATGAATTGTTCATTTCTGACTTTTTCTGTTTAGTATTTTCAGAGCACAGCAGTCCAGAGTAAATGAACTTATGTAAAGTGAAACTGTAGGTATAGGGGTGGCCATTGTATAGAGAAAACATGAGTTTTGTCTTCAAGACAGCATGAGGCCAATTTGGGGTTTAAATTATTTTAAGGCAAACCTGATTAGAATGAAATCCTCTTTGCTCAGTTTAAAGTCCAGAAGGTGCTCAATGAGACATTAAAAAAACTAATGTATATTTTAATTATAACCTCTGGAACACACTGCAAAACAATATGCAAAACAGGTAAACGCAAGATGTATTTTTCTATGATGTAACATTATTAAAAATGCATCATAAAAAGATGTGTTCCTTTTAAAGGTTTGTAGATAGGTGCAAAATATTCTGCATGTCTCTAAAATTCTGAGAGTTAAGACTTGGAATTTCTAAAAATATTCTAAGGGTTGGTTTTTTTAAAAAAAATTTAGCATACATTATGTACAGTAGAGAAAAGGATCATAAAAGATTCTCCTACAGAGCTTATAAAATTACACCCAGCAGGGGAATCCAGCTCTTTTTTTGTTTCCAGAAGCATCCCACAGAGACACCTGAGGCTTCTGAGCAGCTGAACAGCTGTCTATTTTCTCTTATAAACAGACTGAGTACAGGAAACAGCCTCTTAGAAAGTTAGAACAGAGGCTTTACATATAGGCACTTAAAGGTCACTAAAAATAGCAGCTCTTTCCTGCTTCAGAATAAAAAGCCACAGTTAATAACAATTGTGTTGTATGGACATGATTTGTTATAGCTTATGAAGTGTTTTTTTTAGAACAATTTTTTTCTTGCTAGGTTCACTAATAAATATTTCAAGCATTATTTAATAAATTTAAACATTAACCTTTAGAAACATGTGCATCTAATACAGTGGGTATACAAACAATATTCATATGAGGTAGGGTTACATACATGTAATGGGAAATGAAGCTAGAATGGGAATGGGGGGAAACTTAAAACTGCTCTCAGGAGAAGCATGACAGTTTAAAATCATTGTTAGGTTTATCAACCTATTACTTATGGAATACATTATGCTTTAGGAGACCACAAAGACAAGAAGAGCAATTAGAAAGCTCTGATCATAGTTTGAGTTGCTAAGTGCTTCATTTCAGATGCTGATAAAAGAGCTGCTGAATGAAAATGGAGGAGGGGAAAAGAGAAGAGTCAAATACACCAGGGATAACTCAAAGGCAGGTAACTGGCAGGAGAGTGAAGGGAGAAGGGGCATCACTGAAGCCCACGCGAGAGCAAGAATAAGAATCTCCTGGGCAGTGTCAACCCTGGAGATCAAGGAGATGCCCAGGGCCTGGAGGGCAGAGATCAAGTCTGGAATTCAGCTTGCTCACTTCCTCAGTCCTCAACTCTCAGGCTGTACAAAATCTGCTTCATCTATGTTGATGGGAGCTGGACACTAGTTCCATCAGACATGGAAGCTTCAACAGTCCATCCCTCTAATAGCATTGAAAACTGTGGTCCTCACAATCAGAACCATCAACAGGCTTGTTCAAAAGTAGGTTTCTGGGCCTCAGCCTTGAATAACTGACTCTAAATTTCAGGATGTAGGGCCCAGAAATCTCATTTATAAAAAATGTTCAGGTGGTTCGGGTATATGATCTTACACAGACTCTTCCACAAAGTCTCTTAAAGAAACACCCTTTCATCTGTTTCTCTTGTAGTGTTAACATCAGTGAACAATCTAAGTCTCAAACTAGATATTGAATAAGTCTTTGTTAAACAAGTAAAAATAAAACTAGAAAATAACTATTAGGTATAATACTAACTCCAAAGGCTGAGTCATTTTTAGAATTATACAAGCAAATATTTAATATGTTCTATTTAATTATTTCACTATAATGAGAAATCCTAGCACCATGTCATTTGATAGTGCATTACCCATACTTCTATGAATGTATGCGTATTAAAGTTACTTAAATGGCAAAGATTTTAGTTCACATACTTTAAGTATTAAAAATAAAAAGCCATCAAAAAAATGTTAATGTACTTAATTGTGAATTCTGTTATATGGTAGGACCAATTTTTTTTTTCATGCAAAATTATTCCTTGAATCCTAAGGGAATGTGCACACATGTGCTTTTCATAAAAATGTGGCAATGTGATTCCCTATTAGGTGATATGAGTAGTGATGTGTTCCATAGAAACTGAATTTACAAGTTCCTAAATCATGTGGTTAGGCCATCATGTGGCTACATAAACCTAGATTGGCTGGCTTGTTTCTTTAGTAAAACTCTGCTCCCTTATCTTTGACTTTGCCCATTAAGTAAATTCTAGTATAGCAGTTTATATATCCAAGTATATACAATGATATAAAAATGTTTATTTCCATCCAATGAAAGAATAATTTCCATTTTTAAGTTTTTATCAGTACATTATACCTATAATGTACTAATAAAATTATGTAATAATTATGTATAACTATTATACATAATAGCGGTGTGCATTTTGACATAATCATACATACATGGAGTATAATTTGCTCCACTTCATCCCCTAATACTACTGCCCCTTTTCCTCCTTCCTCCCTCCCTCTGTTACTTTCCTCTACTGGTCTTCCCTCTATTTATAGTTTCTTTAAATTAGTGGTCTGTACATACATATAACAGTGAAATTCACTTGGTATATTCATACACGTACAGAGCATAATTCGGTCAGTTTCATCCTGCGGTTCCTCCCTTTTCCTGTCCCTCTTCCCTCCCTTTCAATCCCCTTCCTCCCAACTTATGTCTCGTCTATATTGATGGTATTCCCTCCCTAAAACTCTTTTTTTAAAAAATTTTCTACATATGAGAGAAAACATTCAAGCCTTAGTTTTATGAGTCTGACTTATTTCACTTAGCTTGTTGTTCTTCCATCTAATGCCATGATTTCTTTCTTTTTAATGGCTAAGTAAAACTCCATTTTTTTGTATGTGTGTATATGTGTAAATGTGTGTGTGTATGTGTGTCTGTGTGTGTATGGGCACTTCTTATTCTTGTTCTAGTATGTATGAATATGTGTGTGTGTGAAATACATTTTTTTCATCCATTTATCAGTTGATGGGCATTTGGCCTGGTTTCATAACTTGGCTATCATGAATTTCACTGCCGTGAACATTGATGTGACTTTACCGTTATAGTATGCTGATTTTAGTTCTTTGTGGTAAATACCAAGGAATGATAAAGCTGGGTAATGTGATGATTAAATTCTTAGTCTTTTGAGGAATATTCCTAATGCTTTCCAGAATGGTTGTGCTAACATTTGCAGTCCCAGCAACATTGTATAAGTGCACCCTTTTCCCCATATCCTCACTATCATTTATTATTATTGTATTCTTGATGATTGCCATTCTAACTGTGGTGAGATGAAATATCAATGTAGTTTTCATTTACATTTCCCTGATGGATAGAGATGCTGAATACCTTTTCACATATTTGCTGGCCATTTGATCTTCTTATTTTGAGAAGTGTATGTTGAGATTTTTTTTTTGCCTGTCTAGTTTTAAAGTTTAAACCAAATAGCTATATTTTATCTTCCTCAGAAAAACAAATACAAGATGTATTCAGTATTTCATTCAGGTGGGTTTTATTTCCTGTATGGTTGCAATAAGGTGATATTCTCCCCTGCAAGTTAACTTTCATCTTCATTTGAAGTTTATAAGTGAATTCTTTCCAAGTCTTGCCTATCCTTGTGCACACTCCTTTCTATTCAGAAAAAAAAGGAGTATTTACTGTACAATAGCACCTATATTTAGTATCTCCTTGGATAGATGCCTCACTTTATAACTCTGCCATATGTGAATGTCTCATGTCTTTACTGTTCACATCATTCCAGTGTGTTCTATAGCCTATCTCAGATATTTTATCATAGCTATAGAAAACAGACTAATGCAAAGGTTGAATATATACTATCATGTGATTCAACTATCCCACTCCTAGATATCTAACCAAAAGAAATAATAACATTTGTCTGCAGGAATACTTGAAGATAAATCTTTATAGAAGCTTTACTTAAAAAAGGCAACAACTTGAAACAACCCAAAAGTTCATAAGTAGGTAAATGAACAAACAAACTCTGATATAGATACAATGGAATAATATTCAGCAATAAAAAGAAATAACCTATTGATGAATACTACAACATGGATGAATTTCAAAATAAGTATGTTCTGCCAAAGAAGTCAGAAAAGTTACATACCATATGATTCTAAGAGTCTAGGAAATATAAAAGTATTTATAATGACACAAAGGTGTTGGTTGCAGAAGCACTGGCATAGGTTCAGGGAGGAATGTGGGACACAGATTACAGTGAGGATACTGTGAGGAAACTTTGAAGGTGATATATTCATTATCCTGATTGTGGTGTATTTTTTTTGACCTGCATTTCACAGGTACATATACATCATCAACTTCCATACTTCAAATATATACATTTTACTTCGTTGATTATACTTTAATACAACTGTTGTAGATATAAAAAATAATTGTAAAAGCCAATATTTTTAAAATTTGTATGAACATTGTTATAACTGGAGAAATACTAGAAAATGATGATATCTGGGTTTTAAATCCAAAGATTTGTTTTAATTGCTGAGGTCTATGGGTTTTTGAAGTATTTTTAAAATCCTTCAGGTGATTCTAATAGACAGCAGTTTGGAAATTTGGGGTATGCTATTTCATTTTCTCTGTATAACTAGAAGTATTTTATCTTCATGAGTTTTTGTGGAAGAATCAAATTTAATCATCAGCAATAAAAATAACTGTTCTTCTCCTACAAGATCTAAACATAATTTCAAGGGGAAATTTGTGTTTGTGGGGGAAACTATTGGCTATAAAAACAAAGGAATACAAAGATATTCAACTCAAGGTCTACTCTTTGGAATTTCAGCAGATTAACTTTGTTTCAGGTATCAAAGGCTATTAGAATGCTTGGGAATAGTAAATTGGGTTAAAAAAATAGGATCCTCTACTTAGACAAAGCAAGACTCAGGAGAGGAAGTGAAGATCCACACTCACCTTGGCATAGATGCAGCTTTCGTTGAGTCTCTGCAAGGAACAGTTCTTATCACACAGAGGGCACATGAAGACTTCGGTGGCTTTACAAATCTCCTGGCTTGAGAAATCAAAGAAAATAAAAACATGAAAGTCACTCAGCTCTTGCAGCAAACTCTGGTGGTGAGGCCGAGAAATAGAAATAGTACAGAATGGGGAGCAGGAGAAGAAGCAGTTATGGTTTCAACTTATGAATGAGGATATTTGTGATATAGTATTTTTTTGTTCACTTCTTTGTTCTCTGTTGATATATTGTGATGATAATGGGTCATGGTTTGCATTTATGTGACACTTATGGGGCTTTTTATTACTATAAAGGCACTTTGTTATATGATCTTGTGGCATCCAGGATAATCTTGTGTACAGGTGAGTTTTAACCAAGTTCACAGGCTTGGAAGTGGATAAGCTGGAATGAAACCTAACTAGCCTGACTTTGCAAGCCCAGGGTTCATACAATTTATAGCACACACTGCAGTGCATATCATTGGTGCAGAATATTCAGCGGAAATTGAAGGAGTTGATCTTTTTGAACATGGCACCTTGACATACACACTAATGGCAATATGACATAGATTCTACTACTTAAATATTTGCTCAACTAGGATGTAACTTTATGACATTTATCTCACCAGCTTTATGCCCACTACCTTTTTAAAACCTCAGCATACATTATAGATGGCTTTGTGACAGCAGGGAATCAATAACAGTTTCTGAAAAGCCTTACAGACTTAAGAGCTCAAAAAATCTATTTTGAGGACAACATGAGTCTTTATCTGTCATACATGACCCTTTCTAATTTTTTATCTCCCAGTAAATTTTATTTAAATCAATCTACTCCGGAGAGTTTATAAGAAGCTTAAAGACTTTAGAAAATATGTCTGTTAATGCAATTGTTAACACAAGTTTAATTGGCAATGTTTGTAGCAAGATTTAATGTTTTAAAAAGTATATACATAAAAGCAAAAAAAAAAAAAAAAGAATGTGTGTGAATTTCAGTGCAGGATATACAGAACTTAAAGCCAAATAAGAACACAAGATAAGTACACCAGACAGCGGTATAATACTTTATAGTGGAAAAAGGTAGACTTAGGTCTGCTACATTGCCTAGTCCTCACCCACATCACAGGTAATGGTAATTATGTCCTCTAAGGAGAAGACACCAAGGCTCAATTTAAAAGACTTGCTCAAGTTACAGAGCTAGCAAAAGGCAATTTGAGGAGCTGACTTCAGGCCTTTTTTTTTTTTTTTTTTAGTTATAGATCAATCCAATTTTCAATCGACTTTAACATATATAAAAATAAATACATTTGTTTTATGTTAAAATTAATTTTTCTATCCATAATTTACTAATGGTGATGATGACATAATCAATTTTATATATACTACTCTTAATTTTACACCTCCCATCATATTAGTAATCAGATGTCTGTAGAAAGGAAACATATAAACCATGCATTTTAAAAACCTAAAAGAAAGAAAAGATTGTATCTCCTTGTACAAAATTACTAAAATTTTAGGAATGAGAAGAATCAACATTTCTTGAAGTAATTTTCAGCAAAATGTGCTTATTATCATAATTTACCTTGTTACACAAATGCCACCATTTGTCTTGCATTGGAATCCCATCAGAATAGGTATTCAAATTGGTTTATACTACGTCATCTTGTCCACTTTCCTTACTTTTTAGACTAAACTAAGGGATTTGCACCTATCCCAATTTGTTTGATTTTATGTAACCACTAGAGGGAGGGACAGGTCCCTATCATGAGTGGTTTTTAGCTTCTTTTGCAGGGCTTGACACACCACCACTGGAGTTGTGGCTTACTTTGGTTTTAGATTTGTTGCTGTATATGAATCTATCAATAGCTGATCCCAAAGAATAATTACTACCTTTAAGATAGTGAAATCAAGGAGCAATATGTCTAATCGGGGGTGGATATTGGGGCCCACGCTCTCCAGGAGCCTGATGCTTCCTGTGACTCAGCTAACACGACAAAGCACAGAATAGGAAATTTCTGCTCGATTTGAACATTTTGGGAAAAAGAGTATAAAAATAGGTATGAGGAAGAAGAGTGTGGCAGCATGGATAAAGCATTGACTTTAAAGTCAAATATAATCATCAGGGAAATCCAAGTTAAACCACAGTGAGTTTACCTTATTCCTACTAGAATTGTTCTTATATTTATTCTTTTTTTTTTTTTTTTTTTTGGAGGCTGCTTGTTGGGAATCAAATGTAGGCTTTTGTGCATGCTGGGAAAGCAGTGTACCACTGAGCTACACCTCCTGCCTAGATTGCTATTATATTTTTTTAATTACACGAAAAATAAATGTTGGTAAAGATGTGGAGAAGCTGAATCCCTTGTACACTGTAGGAATCTAAAAGGATGCACTGCTATGGAGGCAGTGTTGATGTCCCTCAGAAGGTTAAAAACAGAGTTACATATGATGCATCCTTTCCACTTCTAGAAATATTTACAAAAGAAATGAATTCAGGATTTTGAAGAGCTATGATGCTCCCATATTCATTGCAGCACTATTAAAAATTCCAAAGAGATAGAAATAAACCTAATTTATATTATTTCATCAGTGGATAAAGAAAATATGACATATAAGTACAGTGGAATATTATTTAGCTGTATAAGAAGAAAGGAAATTCTGTCTTATAGGAAAAAATGGATCAACTTTGAGGACATAATGCTAAGTGAAATGAACCACTCACAGAAGGAAACATACTGCATGATGCCACTTACATGGGGCATCTAAAAGAGTCAAACATACAAAAAAGAAGAGTATTTTTGTGATTTGCCAGGGGTGTTGGGAGAAATGAGGAGGGAGCCCGTGCTCAATGGGTATAAAATTTCAGTTACACAGGATGAGTAAGTTTTAGATATCATCTGTACAGCATTGCACATAAACTGCCTGTATGGTTAAAATTTTGTTAAGAGAGTAGATTTCACATTAAATGTTCTGACCATGTTGTTTTAAGTATCAGTCATAGGCTTGAAACTTAACTGCGCCCTTCATGGACATATTTCCCTGACCAAATCACCTACTTCCTTGAGGTGCATTTGTCTCCACACAAGGCTAGTATCTGATTGGGATACTAGTTATAGGATTTTGCCTGGCATATCCCAGGTGGTTCATAAAAGGAAGAACCCCTTATTGCTAAGGTTAGCCTCAGGAGAGGGCTTGAGGATTTCTTTCGGAAGCAAAAGCTTTCTCGTAAGACTGGTAAATACTGAGAGCCACAGAAGTTTTTAGATAAATTCTGACACTAATGAAGCAGGAATGGACTAGAAAATTGGGATTTGTACTCTCTGACCTGTCCTGAAACTCAGATCCCTAAGATGCATGTCACAGGTACCTGCTTGTTGACTCTTAAAATCCTGTAAAATGTTCTCACCCGGGCACAAAAATGAATATATTTGGCTTTGTAAAGCAAGTGTGCACATGTATGGATACATACAGCGATCTAAAACTGATTGTTATGTGCTCCCACAAATAACTACAGGGGCAATTAAGAAATATAGGTTTAATTTAGTTGTCATATCTGGTAGGATCATAATAAGTAGTCCCACACCTGCAGCTTTTCAACATTTTGCTACCCTGAACTAAAGAGAAAGAGAGAGAGAGAGAGAGAGAGAGAGAGAGAGAGAGAGCGCTTCATAAAATAATATGAACATGAATCAACACAAAATAAAACCTAGCCCCCTCCCCACCCCCACCATGATAACACCTACGACTCAACCACGTCTGCCACCTTGAATGGAAAATTTCAGTCCTGAAATGTTGAAAGTCAAGATATTCAGTGCTGCGTATCTTGGTTGAGAATAGAAAGTCTGACAGGATCTTAATTATAGTGTGACAGGAGTAGCAGTAATATAATACCATAGAGTGCAGAATAAAAGATTTTTCTAGCACCTTTTAAAACACTTCTTGTATCAAAGGTTAAGGCATACTTATTTCATACAAAAGAAGCCTAATTTACTCCTTTGGTACATAAATCAATAGGAACACTCAATCTATTCCTTTCATTCCTTTGGATCATTTTCAGCTTCCTGGGGGTGGAAGGAAAAGTCTTTATTTCATGGCAAAACTTTGTGGATATGTTCTACAGGAACCAACTGGAGCAGCAGCGAGGGAAGAGTCTTCTTCCATGTTTGTTAATTCATTGTAAAAGAGGGCTTTACCTTTTAAGATAATGTAACTCACACTATCTCCCCTGAGTCTCATCAGCACTCAGGGAAAAGCCCAATAGGGGAAGAGTAAAGGGGGATATTCACAGAGGGCAGAAGTTTGTTCTTGAACATGCCACTTTCCACAGGGAGAATGATTTACAAAACTCTGAAGCTCATGAGCAGAAGTTATGTCTTTGTTTGCATGCTTATTATCACGTGGCTTCATAAAGAACAAAAAGGGGACTCTGGGACATCAAATCAAGTAACTTGGTTACTGAACAGGATTCCACTCTAGGACAAGAAAGAGAACTTGTTTTTAGGCAATATGGTTCCATATAGGCAAATACAAACATGTGCATATCACATTTTTTAAAGGGAATTCAGGGAAACTAACTTTTAGGATCTTCTGAAGAATGTCACACTAACAGCTGTCCTGATTACTGCCGGGTAGGAAGGCTATGGTTGAAATATGCACCGAAGAGAAGAACAAAGTGTTGAACTTTAAAAGAGAGGGGAGAGCTTCTTTATGTTTTAATATAAAGTTGAATTTGATAATATCCTTGTGAAATATATTAAATAGAACACGCTGCCAAGAGGATTCTTTAATCCTAAGGTGACTCCTGTCTCTGGTGAGTAATAATTTAGTATTTCTAGGAATAATGTATTCCTATTTCTAAATCTTGAGTCACTGCGGATTGAACAAAAGAATCACCTTTCTGATGATGTTATGTTTCACTTCTGTCAAATCCTGTTTTGCTACTATTTTTAGAAAGGTATGTGGGATATACTTGAAAGTGAAATCTGGCATCAAGACTAGCAGTCCTGGAACTTATCTAAGAGAAATTTACTTAAAAAACATATCAAAATGATCTTTTTATCATGTTTTTCTCCTATTAAAAAAAAACTGGTATGGTGGCACATGCTGGTTAATACCAACTGCTTGGGAGACTGAGGCAAGAGGATTATAAGCTGAGGCCAGCCTGGCAACTTAACTGTAAGCCTGACTCAAATAACAAATAAAAATAGCTGGGGATGTGTAGCTCAGTGGTTGATTATCCTTGGCTTGCAGGTGAAAGGCTCTGGGCTTAATCCCCAGTACTGAGAAAACAAATACTCAATAGAAACAGACAAACAAGCAAAAAACAACAACAACAACAACAACAACAATATATATATATATATATATATATATATATATAGAGAGAGAGAGAGAGAGAGAGAGAGAGAGAGAGAGCGCAAATAAATATTAAAATGTAATATTATCATTGTTTTTTTCTGCTAAGCATTATCCTTAAGTTTTTGTCCACTCAGAAGACAGGCCAACAGCTTTTATAAATCTCTTTACAGCTTACCTTACTTGACTTTCATTCATTGTAACCAATCCATAGAAGAACACACACAAGCCAACCACTGCTGCAGGAATCAGCATGCCAGTGTACCACCCCAGCCAAGCAAAGTACAGCCCAATCTTCTCACCAAAGTACAGCCTGCACGAGAAAGCACATCATTAGCTCGAGTTAAGGTGTCCTAAATGAATTTACAAATACTGATGTCACAACTAATCAGAAGAATTTCAGATGGAAACTTGAGGCTAGCAGCTCAATTCCCCTTCAGTTCCATCTGAGGTATCTAACAATCCTGTTCCTTAATGAATCTTATAATGGCGATGTCATTTACTTTTAAACACTATAGGGGCAATGATAGTGGAGATTTTATCAAGTGTATCTATTTCTGTGCCAAATTTCTTAATATGCTATTAGGACTTTCTATATTACAATTCTTTCTTTGTTCTCCCAGGAGCATCCTGTTAAGTCTCTACATCACAGATCTAAGCTAAATCATATTGCATTATGGGCAAATTAGAAAAATCTCTCCTCTCAGTGGATGCTGACAGGCTAGATTTCCATCCCAATCTGTATTCTCAGTCAGTATCCTTATGCTGAACATGATCTACATCATTATGTCATCTCCTCCCCAACAAAACTCAACTCTGCAGTTTCCAAAGAACACAGCAATGACCTTAGCTGATGTTGTTCCCCATTTGTGGAAGACTTAAACAACCATCAACTTCTTCCCTGTCAACCTGCACTGGTACTTCACTTAATATTGCTTCTTCCAGGAAGCCTTCCCTGAACTCCCTCTCTAACCTTTATTTAGAGATCCCTGCTCTTGTTTCTACAGACCTTTATTCATGCTTCAGTGTCCTAAGCATATAACACCTTAAAGCAACTACTTGCCAATCCTCAGTTTCCTTCCTCTCTATGAGACTCTAGGCTACTGTAAGCCTGAATGTTGCTTCACTAGTAGCCATCATAGAAAGACTGAAAGAAGCTAAGAGAATGAGTGCATTTTATTGTCTTCAGCTGATGAGCATAGCTTCTATGAGAACAGCAAATGAACAAGGAGTTTGCAATACCTACTCAGCTGTTATTTCTCTAATTGGTCTACTTGCAACATTCACTGTCATACAGTTCATAAAGTTCTGGTACAAACAGTAAGAATTTTCTAACTTCTCTCCTACTGTTAGGTTCCCCATCTTCTAAAGATTATTACTTTTTACTTAACACACAGGTTGTTCCAGCTTTTTGGTTGTTTGTTTGATTTGGCTCTGGGGATTGAAATGCAGGTGTGCTTTACCACAGAGCTACACTCTCAGATCTGTTCCCCAACCTCCTTTTGAATTTTGAGATGGGGTCTAGCTAAGTTAATGAGTCTGACTTTGAACTTACTATCCTCCTGCCTTCACCTCCGGAGTCACTAGGATTCCAGGCGAGCAAACTACCATACTTGGATATAATTCTAAAGATTGTGTTTCAAGTTTATAACAATAAGCCACTAGAACATACTTCCTGGAATAGAGGAAATCATACATTTTTGTTGAAAGGTAAATATAGTGGGACCTCCATATACTTGGGTTCTACTTTCAAGAATTCAATCAACCATAGATGAAAATGTAGCTTGGCCTATATAGTTGTGTCTGCTTTGAATACGAACAGACTATTTTCTTTCCATTATTCCCTAAACAAGGAACTATAATGTATATGACATTTACATCATCCTGGGTATTTGAAACTACCCAGAGATGACTGAGTGTACAGGAGGACTTGTATAGGTTATATGCAAATGCTACACAAATTTATATATGGGATCTGAGCACCCATGGATTATGGCATTTGAAGAGGAGTCCTGGAATCAGCCCCCTGTGAGCTCCGAGGGGCCACTAAATATGCATAGATGCCACATTGGTCATTTTCCTTTCTACTCTCAGATCAATTTTTTTTTTTTTGCTTCTTTTTTTTTTTTGAGTTTTCATACTGTGGTGAATTACCCAGGCTCCCTATCAGTAATTTCCGGTTTAGCTGGGTCAGGAGAAACTAGAAGACTTGAAGGTAAAAAAAAGGAGATAATCCAGGATCTTTTCTTCTTCTTGGTGTTCTCAGGCTGTGTGCTGTGGCTGTGCCCAGGTAGTGGACTCTATTAATGCACTTCTTCCCTCATCCATGGGATGTTAGTAATTTTCTACTCTTCCTAATCCCTTCTTGACTTAAAAGCCCTGCTTGATTTCTCAATTCTCCCATCCCACGTAACTATGTCCCTGAATTTATTTCCTGCCACTGAAAATCATAGAGGGGTTTCTTTTTCTAGATTGCATCCTCACTGATAACAGGTGACAAGGTAGGTACAAGAAGCAATTCTAAGAAAATGGCAATGGAAGGGCACAATTTGCTTTCCATTGTCAGTTCATTTGCAGAACCTGATTAAGTCCAGAGGCTGGTGCTTGTACCACATTCCCCAGCGTGCCCAGCGCTCATATAACAGATGTCTTCTATTCTGAGGTCCATGGGTTTTGATGGGTAGGCTACTCTTATAAGCTCCCTGAAACAGATAAAATAATACAAATTGGTGTCCATTCTCTTGGTGACATTTGAAATAAGAGCTATTTATTTCCTTAGCAACCTATTGAAAGTTTGAGATTAGAAATAAGTTTAACAGTGGAATGATGTGGTAGATGACTCCTTCACTGGAAATAATCTCCTAGTTACTTAAATACAATTTCTTCAATTACTTCAGTTACTACATTTTTAAAAACAATTTTGATCTATTTTGCTTAAGTAAATAGAATTCAGGTTTTACTGTTGGAACCCAAGTTCTTTTGATAAATACAATATCCATCAATGAGAGAAATTGTTGTAATATTTAGTTCAGAAATTAAGAGTATTATTCCACTTTAAGAAGTGCCCTAGTGCCAGAAAAGGTTACTCCAGTTCACAGGGTATTATCCTGATTTGAGAAGTGATCCATTTCAAGAAAAGTTTTCTTACACTTACAGATACTAAGGAATCAAATAAGTGCTCATTTGAAAAGGATGTGGCCTTAATCATATTTTTAAACTGTAGAATATTCAAATCTTATTTTGGATAAGATATTCCAAAAATTAAAATATTAAAAAAATCCTTAAATCTTCTCTCAAAAATCTGTCAGGTAGTTTGCATATGATCAAATATTCCCAACCAGAGCTATTAGTTCCTATGTAGATAGAGGATACTTTGAATTGTGGCTGCCAAGTGCCCCGAAATTGTAATAAGGATGTCACCTTTAAAAAAAAATAGACTATTAACTAGGGAAGAGTGGAAGTGAAACTGAAGTACAGCCAGAGATGTCTTCTCTCAGGAAGCCTAGGCATTTAAAGCCAAAATATCAGAAGCCAAAGAAATGGAAGTAAAGATCTAGGTTCTCCATATGGAGCATTTGCTGGAAACAGTTGATTTGCTTGTGAAAATGTACAGGCTGCCCTCAGGTTGGGTAGGAAAAGGACACTGAACTAAAATCTCAACTATTTATTTCCTTAGCAACCTATTGAAAGTTTCAATAACTACTGATAATTCTCCCAAAATTCATGACTTTCCCAGCCTTAGTGATCAGAGCATAGATTCCTGAGCTTTAGACATTAAACTTTAGCATACCAATTACATCATTGGCTCGAGTTTGTTCCGTAACCTCAATCAATTATACTGTTATGGTTTGACAGTGTTTTAGCCAGACTCCTTCCAATATGTGTGTGTGTGTGTGTGTGTGTGTGTGTGTGTGTGTGTGTGTGTGTATGCCCTGTGTGGGGTGTTGTAGATCTCAATATATGTATATAATTTTTTAAAATAAATGATAGTTGAAGTCAAGAAAGTTAAGATCAAAAGCACAGTTTTCATAGTTTTGAACCCAAGAAACCAAACTCAGCTGCTTTATATTAATTATGAAATACCTCCTTATATAGTAAAATAGAAATGACAATAGCCAATAATATGTTTGTGTGTTTCATGCACCCAGCCCTATATCTATATTATCCTATTTTTCTGACAATAACATTCAAGGGGTATATAATATTATTATTCCATTTTTAGAAGTAAAGTAGCAGTGATCAGAAAATTTAAATACCATGTCACAGGCCAACCTTATAGTCACATGTGCCCACTATAGCTTGAAGCAGACATTAGCATTATATCATTAGAATGTAATAATAATAATAATAATAATAATAATAATAATAGGAAGATCAAGAGAGTAGAATAAGTTGATTAGTGTGAGAGAGGAGGGAAGGGAAAGGGGGCATTGTTACATATTATTATAATTGCCAATTTAAAAATAAATAAATAAAATATTTTAAACGACCCCCCCCAAAAAAAAAAGATGAGGGGTGTAATAATCTGTCCAGGAACAAGTAGATAATGGTCTGGAGGATTGTGGTGTAGGCTTGTTTTAGATTTCAGATATCCTCAAGAACTAAGCATGCACTAGGAATCTGCCCTGTGTGGGGTGGTGTAGATCTCAAGTTGGATCAAGAATGGACTCTCTGCTACTACAGAAGTCAATGGTTAGCATATCTGGCATGAGTGTCCTCTCTAAGTCTGGGTTTCCTCAAAGGAGGTAACTACAGAAGACATTTGGAGCAGAGGAGCCAGCATATAGCCCCAGGATCATACTGGGATCTCAGAAGGCCCAGGTCCACAGTGACTGAACTTTGCTGGGATGAGCAGCCAAACTCAAATGGAGAGCAACGGTATGGAGCAATAAGCAGGAAAACTTTTCTCTCTTTCTTTCTTTCCTTTTTTTATATGGAAATTATCTTTCAAAATTACCTCATGTGGGGGAAATGCTGCTATATATGAGCCATTGTTTATAAGTTTGCGGATACCTGGAAAGAAAATAAAAAAAAAATAATACTTGAGTCAGTTTCATAGAGACTTCCTTGTGGAGCACATACTGCATGTGGGACAAGGAATTAATTGAAAATGTAAAATAACCCTAATGACCTCCATAGCCCATACATCTGTGGGTACAATATGATTGTGAGAGAGAGCAACACTACACTTAGTTGTGTCCTTTAGTAAAAGTAAATGTACAAGAGGCCAACATATGGCTTTACCTTGTCATCTCATAATATTTGAGGAGCTTTGGTACCCAGTTATTTGGGATCATTTGAGCCAGGAACAACATTTTTCCCCTTCAAATAACAAAGCTTGATCAAAAACAAAGGAATTTTACACTCCTAAAGCAATCTCAAAAGTTATTTTATTGAGAGGTCTGTCCTTGTTTAACTCTAAGCCAAAGCGACATGAATAACAACCTAAGACACTCAAAATCTTCCTATCTCCCTGAGGGTGCAGTGTTGTAGACACTCACATAGAAGTCCTGGTGGGAACAGACACTGGGAAATCTTTCTAGACAGCAATTTTTGTTGCAATATTGTTTATATTAATTAAGAATTAGAAAGAATTGTACATATAAAATGAAGGAATCCTTTATCACTTTACAACTATATTAGGTATTCAGTAAGTAATTATGATTTGATAAAGTCTTATTATAGAATATTGTATAGCTCTTTAAAGTTTTCAAACAGTACTGAAGGACTTGAGGAAATATTCATAATGGTAATTTTTAACAGAATGACAAATTCTGAACAATGTATTCTTGTAATTTTCATATAGTTCAAATTTGTGACAGTGAAAAGAGTAATTAGGAAATTTTTAAATTTTAAATTCTCCTGTGTGTACTTTATTTTCTACATTTTAGTCATTTTAAAATGTCATATTTATTCTTAAAATTGACATAAGCACATAGCAGTATTATGTAGTCACTTTCTCGTTTCATATTCTGGATTTCTCTTATTTTTATTTCTTTGGAACATTTATGACTGATTTTTATTGTTTTTCATATGGTTTTGATGTCTAAGTTATTATTTTGGCTGCTCCATCATAAAAAAAAATAATGCTAATCAGAAGAGAAGCAGAATCTGAACATTCCTCTTTAAAACGCTGGCAAACCAGGAACACAATTCACATTTCTTATGTGGAACTCCATTTTAATGCAAATCAATAGAGCTGGTACACATTTCAAAGACTGCCAATTTTTAATTTCAAGAATTTTAGGATATTTGACTAATATTTGATCTCTTCAATGTTAGGTTTCAGCCTTACAAGTAAAAGGCCAGCTTATTTGTTTCTTTTTTTTTTCCTCTGCTCTATGCAAAATCTGTAATTCTATTTTTTTTTTTTTCTGGGGGAGATGCTCTCAATTTTCTTTTGTATTATACAGGTTATAGCAAACTGCTAAATAGTCAAACAAAGCAGAAATGTAGATAGTTAAAATGATTTGACAGTCTATCTTTCAGAGATAATCTCTATGAGTTTCTTACATATTTTTCTAAGCCTTCCTTTCTTTCTATGTATGTGTATTTAGGAAATAGAATTACATTAGACCTACAGTTTGGTAATCTCGTTTTTTTAAAAAAAAATCACTTAATACATTGCACATATCTTTCAAGGTCAATAAATAGAAAACTCAACTAATTTCTATGAGCAGAGTCTCTTTCATACACATTTTATAATATTAGTGTGTACTAGATGCTTGGTAATTTTGTGCTAAGGGAGAATAATCCTCATAATTTTTTAATAGAGTGATTAAGTGGATGCAGTCATTCCTTAGTGTGGAAATTTTAAGTCTGTTTTAGTCGTCTTCTATTCATGATGAACCACTTTCTACATATATTTTCATTCAAAAGTCTAATTATTTACTTTGGGTTATATTTCAAGAAATAAAATTTCTCTTCTAAAGTATTTGCACATTTTGATACATTTAGCCAAATGTTCTCAAAAAACCTTATTTGAAAGTCTGCAAAATAGAAAGTTTATAGAATTTGTGTTCAATCTGCTATACACTCACATTTAATGAATAATGACAAAGTTTCAATTTTTGAAAAATAAACAATAGTTCTGGGTATAATTAAAATCTACTTTCTCTATGATTGCAAATAATGTTCTTACCCACTTTTGATATTCCACTTTCATATCTGGTACGCTCCAACATGTGATAGACTATCCGGCTTCGTGTAGCATTGCTGAAGAAGGTGTCCTTACTGTTTATGATGAAGCTGTTAAGATGAGGGAATTGGTTTTAATATTCAGAGAAGAGCACAGAATCCAGCCACAGTTAGTTCCTAAATAATCACCCGTCTGTTTTCTCCATTAAAGCTAATCATATGAAATATAGTAAGTCAGAAGAGAAGTCATTCTCTTAAAAAAAATAAATTGACAGAGGAAAGAAACACACATACGAATACAGAGAATTATAAAATGTTTATTTAAGTATTTTTTTAAGTTTATGAGGAAGTCTAGGTATCCAATATTTATTTCTCTTTTAGCATAGAATAAGAAGAAAATTGATTGTCTACTGGCTCACATAAATTTTTTACTACCTTAAGAAATTTAATTCCAAATAGATGCATTAAAAATGGAAATGGTTCCCCTGCCACATTTTGCAATCTAGCTATCTTATCTTCAAGACTTTGCAAAGATCCATACATAGTATTTTTTTTTTCTGTTTCATTCCTTGTATTGTCCCTTTTGGAAAGAGAAGCAAATGTCTACGATGTAAAGTGCAAAAGAGGATCCTAAGAAAGAGGAAAAATCTGTTTCAACATCTACTTTATCATAATCTGGGAATCGCAAAAAAATAAAAATAAAAAACAGAGTGTAATGGGTCTCACTCAACTTCTGACACTTCCCCTCTCCAGTTGCTTTATCTCTGTGAATGATGGACTACCATTTCGTCAGGCACTTCGTCTGAATATTATGTCTGCTATAATCCTTGCTTTGAATGTCTCAACATTCAAATAATTGCCACAGAAAGTAACTCATCTAACTGAACTACCTCTCCAGCTTTGGCACTACCTCACTTATTCTGGGTGGCATTATGAGAAGAATGTCCTCATAACTAGACAATCAACTTCCCCCCCTTCCTTTTATATACTTTAAAGAAAGCATAACTCTGATCCTTAGAGTAGTCCTCTACTTTTAGCCTGTCAGGAGCTTTCCATTATGAGCATAATTGAAGTTCTCATTTCCCTCCATGGATCTCTATGCTTGTATTACAACCTATAACTCAAGTCTTATTTCTTACAGTTCTGGCTTCTTGTATCTGATCATCTGTTAAATTGTTCAGTTTATCAGCACTGTCAAATTGTCTGCTTCTTTTCCTCTGGATTTTGCTGTCTTCAACATTTTTTCTTCTTCTCCTCTCCTTACTCCCTTGTTTTTTAATCAGTTGTAAAGGGATGTTTCCTTCGAAAAGGTTTCCAAGAGCCTTTCCTCTTAATGTCTACTTAATTTGTGTCTTTTGTAATATTGATTTACACTTAATATGTACATTTGTCTATTTTATTAGATTATGAGTTCTTTACAGTTTCTATGTTTTATCTGTATTGGGATGCACCAAATTCAGGATCTTGTTAATTGCAGGTAGCAGAAGAAATATCCTCCATTCTGATGATTTTCTCACTTATAGACTGAGGAAGCATTTTTGAAGAAATATTTCTTAAGCAGGTAAATTTCTATTTTCCTGGCTTTATATTATGGAGGAATAAAACAGATTTTAAAAACTAACATATAAATAACAAAATTACACGTAAGGTGCATGAAGAAAGATGAAACAGGAGAATGGCATAGAGAATAGGGGCCCAGAGGCAGAGTGTTCAGAGAAGGTCTTCTGAGGTGGTAATGTTGAGTGGGAGCAGAATAATAAGAGGGAAAATGCCATGCAGAGGTCTGGGGGCAGAGCATGTCAGGCAATGAGAACATCAAGAATAAAAGTTCTGGCTTGGGATGATACACCAGTAGCTGATTCATTGAACCAAGGCTTTCATGACTGGATTAAGTAAATGTGGAAAATGCAGAGTTGAAGTCAGAGTGTTGGGAAGGAACTGCAGCATCTGCATCCACAGGCAGATGATAAGAAAGACATTTGAATTTTATTACAAGTTCAATGGGAGGCCATGGGCATGGGAGATTAAGTAAGGCCTCTCTGTGATCTGATGAATGCTTTTCAAAGATCAGTCTGGTTTCTTGGGTTTGCAAAGAAAGAGCAGAATTTTTTTTTTTTTTTTTAGCTGACCCCATTTGGTTAACAATAACAATGGTCACAGGAATTTTTATTCTATAAACAAATCACAGATAATGAAAGACACAAAAGCAGGTGACAGAAGAGACAGGAACTCACTGGTGAATCCGTGCTCTGCTAAAGGGGCCAGTGTAGCAGTCTGACTCCTCAAGGTCTGGAAAAGCTGACTTGTCAAGAACCATTGGATTTTGGGACATCCACTTTTTTATTCTTTTAAAATAATTTTGCAACCTGAAAGAAAGTTACATCATAGAACCAGTTTAGGTGGTATTCCATAGCCATGCCAACCTTCCATGATAATTTCCTCAAGTACTAAAGCATGAATTCTAAAAAGATAGGTGCATGCACGTGCGCGCGCGCGCGCGCGCACACACACACACACACACACACACACACACACACACACTTCTTTTTCAACACAGAAGAAATAAATAGCAAAACAAGCCAAGTCCTGTTTTTCTTTAAATTCTTGCAGAGCAATTATGTATCCTCATGAACAAAAACCTTGTGGAAAATATTTCAGAACCACTATAAATATGATGGTAGACAAGAGTATAAAAAAGTATCACGATATATTTATTAAAACTGTATGTTATCATCTATCCAATCTATCTATAGACTACTTCCTAATTCTTAAAAAAAAGAAACAGCAATATGCGTGTTCAAAGTGAAGACTAAATAAATAAATGGCTCTGACACACTTCTTTATTAGTACTGGGGGCTACGACTGCAGTAGAAATGGAAACAACTTTGAAGTCCCATAAAACTGGGTTAAAACAGATCTCTTTATTGCATTAGCTGTGTGAATTTGTGCAAGTTGTTAAACTACTTCTTGCCTCAGTTTCCTCACTCATAAAGTCAAAATAATATTGACTTTGTTGGAAAGTTGCTATTTGGTGCTTTAATTTAAACCTGATCACTAACAACAAGGAAGACTGGGGTATAGAGCCTTTGCAATAATTTTAAGATTTTAGTGGGCATATGAAGGACCCAAATATTTTAGTAAAATGCATATATTGGCCAGGCATGGTAGCTCACACTTGTAATCCCAGCAGCTCAGGATATCCAGGCAGGAGGATTTTGAGTTCAAAGCCAGCTTCACAACTTAGTGAGGCCCTAATCAGCTCCTTGAAACCCTGTTTCTAAATGAAAAAGGGATGAGGAAGTGGCTCAGTGGTTAAGTGCCCCTGGGTTCAATCCCTACCACCACGGTATCAAAGTGAAAAAAAAAATTAAGAAAAGGAAGAAGGAGAAGGAGAAGAAAAATAATGCAGATATTGACTCAGTAAGGCATGGGGCCTGAGGTTCTGCATTTCTAGGTAGCTCCTAGGGAATATTCATGCTTCTATCTATTATGCATATTTTAAATATGAATTGAGTATAGACACCAGGCATGTACTACATTAAATACTGTTTCAGGAAATTCTGACATCAGGACACTTTGGCCCCAACTGTAAAAGACAATTGACTTGTGTGCTCTATTTATACTGATTAGAATCATATTTGTTTTACTGAGGAGAGAGAGATATTGATTCCAGAGTTGATTCTGAAAAACTGCATTCTAAGTTACTATTATAACAGCTATGTTCACTAAAGAAAATGTAATATTTACACACTATGAGGTTCTGCTGGGCGATTTTTGGCATCTACTGCAACAGCACGTGGAAGAATTAGGACAAAATATGTTCCCAGACAAGTACAACATATTTCAATATTTGTTTAGCTGACTTTGTTTGACCTTCAAAAAATATTAGGAGAGCAGTGGGCAGGCAGTCAATATGTATCTTAAGACTTATTTCATTCAATTAAATTATGGAAAAATTATCATACAAAAATTGAAATAAGAATCAAATCCTGCTACAGAGTTCTGGATGTAAAAATCTTGATATTTCCTTTGCCAAGTTACATTATCAAATAGCTGCTGGTTATTTTTGGTTTTGGAGGGATCACAGCATCTCTTTCTAATCTAAAATAAGTAATAATAAAATGAACAACAATAATAATAATAAAGAAATAACTAATCCATATAGGAGGTGGTCACTTTGCTGCTTCTCATTACAAAGAAAGCATCCAAGTTAATTTATCCCCATATTCCAGAGGCCAGCACACAAACATGTAGAATATATCAAGTAGATTATAAAATGATTGATCCAGCTTTTTAAGTACAGCACTCCACTTATGTATAAAATGTCAAAATATAGTATACTATTATGATTATCTAAAAAGAACAAATTGAAAAAAAGAAAAGGTAATGTACATCCACAAAGCACTAATTAAAAAAAAAAAACCTATATGTAAATAGCAGAAAGATCAGTAAGGTAGAAAGGAGGGAACAGGGGTAGAGAGAAAGGAAAATGTGGAAGTCCTGAAGATGGAATTAGAGAAAATTATATTCCATGGTTTTATAATTAAGGCAAAATGAATCCTGTTGTCATGTATAACTAAAAAGAACCAACAAAAAATCTGAATAAAACCAGTGGAATAGGAATAAAATATTAATGCTCTAGTGCTGAATTTTCCAGTCTTTGAAATTGGACTACACATTTCCAGTCTGAGATTCAGGTTCCTTAGCTCTAAGGAGAAGAAGTAATTCCATCTGCCCTATTTTAGAAAAATGGCCAGGAGAATCAGATAAAAGGAAATATTCCAACTGTACTTGGAAACTATTGTTGTGTCATAGCACCCAAGAACCTTCTGTTTCAGATGAAATGACAAAGTAGAAACAAAGGTGAATTTTTAAAAATTTTAAAATAAACCAAGTAAAAGAGTGTCCAAATTTTCACTTATTCTGCTAATAGAAAACAAACCATATTATCAATTTAGGCTTTTCACACATATTTCCTGATGTGACGGTAAATGCATTCTGACTTGAATTTGAATACTAGGATACAGGGATCTTGTTCATCCTTTAAACAAAAGAATATTTTGAGAATTAAAGGGACAATGTCTGATGCCACCAGGCATACCTCATTGTTTGCATCCAATAAATATTATGCTAATAATAGTGAAAAGAATATTGCCACTACTATTTCTATTGTTGCAACTGCCACACTGTACTCCAATATTATCTAATACATTTGGACTTGCAAATGCAAGATTTCATGGTATAATGTGAAGATGACTTCTAATAGAGCTTCAAAGTCCTTTGCTAAAATCAGGGAAAAGCTGAGAATTCTATGGAAATTGAATATAAATCTGGATTAAAGGGTCAAAACAACTTAGTCAAATCACAAACTCTGCCAAAGCAGCAGAGAGCTGAGGAGAGCAGTGTGGATGGGGGTGGAGATCGAGTCATTTATTTTCCTAGATCTGCAAAACTGGCTACTCTTTGTTCTGACTCCCTTGCAGGTCATTTTGAAGTTGCTTTTATATTCGAATGTGGAAATGCTTTGTAAATAAAAAGTAAATTGCAGCAATAATAAAACTATGGTTATTTCCTTTTAACCTTCCCTGAGAAATGATGATCTTCAAAAGCTGGATAATTGTCTGTTTATTTATCCCCTAGTGTTTGCTGTTCAAAATTAACAATAAACAAAACATCTTTCACTTCAAGAAAGAAAAAGCACAAGTAAAACTAACTGGGCATATTTTATTTTAATTTCTCACTTTGCAATATGTCTATAGTTTTATGATCTTATATCAATAATGAAGACACACATGTACACACACACTGTTCTTAAATTCTTTTTCAAAGATCATTTTTTAAAAATAGGAACCAGTCAATTCCTTAATTGAACATATAAGCTCAGAAAAAAATAACATGATATTTTTTCTATTTAAAATGTTATATATACATAAATATAAATATATATAATATAAATGTTTTATAAACTCTTTCATAAAGAGTTTATTTATTTATTTATTTATTTATTTATTTATTCCCTGCTCCTCCCTATTTGCATTCATGAAACCAAAAAACAAAGGAAACTATTAGTAATAAGCAAAATGTAAAGGGACAGATTATAGTTAAGGTTCTGATAATCACTTGGAAAATTTGAAAACCAAATTTTAATTTTATGGAGTAAACAGAAAATATTGAAAGACTAAACATTTTGAAATAGATGATACAGTTATTTTTCTGGTTTGCTTGAAAACAGAAAAAGAAATATTTTTTATACAAATATGGTGTTTCTTTAGTATTTAATATACATAAATTTAGAGTGTATTCTAAACATAAATTTAAAAATGAAAGTGATAGCTTTATATAGACTTTTTGGAGATTTTAATAAGAGGATTTATTTTTCTGCAAGTCTTTGAAAGAAAAACGCCTGTTCAACAGAAAACCCAGTAACTGTGTAGTCACAAAGTCTCACTAATTCCATGGTAGCTGACTAAAGGGGACCAAAATATCAACCATCCAATATTGGACAGACATATACATAGCAGAGAAAAGAAAAAATGCAGTTATAAGTTTATGTATTGTAATATTTAAGTGACTTTGACTTTATTATGTAAGTATGACTTTGGAAATTTGCTACATAGACCAGGACCAATATCTACAGAAGAATTAAGAAGGGTTCATTCTAACTCAGAGCACTAACCTGGCAGAAATATATGACTTGGTTAAGAACCATCATTAATTATTTAATAATTCATTGTACTAATTTCTGTGATAATTATTCTAACTTCAAGATTTTCTTCTCCATGATTTACTTTCTTGTCATTAAAAATCCTATCAAACCTAATTCAATGCTTAAAGGAGCCAATATTCTCCTATAGAGGTTTATAAAGTTCAAAGTTATATTAAATGATTTTCTTTGGGAAAGGAACTAGATTTATTGAATCCTTTCCTAAAATGGTCTCTCATTCATACTGTGGGTTTTATAGCTTTTGTATAATCTGAATTGTTATCCCCTACAACATTTGTCAATGGAACTCATTTTACCACATTCTTGTATTTTGTCTTTGCAAACTGAATCTTCTGCAATGAGCAGGAAAACAGCCAAGTGTATAAAGCCTTTTGTTTAAGTGTTCATTAAAGGAAGCTCATTTCCTCCAGTGAAATAGTGCCAAGGTGACTCAGGTTAAAGAATTTCTCCTGTTTTAGAATTGTGGCTTGTTTAAATCCTTTCCACAGTTACCCTTTACTACAACAGGTGACTAGCTGAGGCTTTAGATGAAGCTTTTTCTTGAAAAGAAGCTCATTTTTAATCCTAGCATAAGACAGGTAAATTAAGGTGACAGAATTTAATTAGGTTTATAATGCAAAAAATACTTTATGACCTTAGTAAACCACTGCATTACTCTGGATTCTAGTGCTTCTGATAAGATAATTTCACTGAATGTCCCTGCAAATCTTTGGTAGGTAGATTGTTCTATTTTTCTAGTGAGTCATCATTTATTCATTGATCCTAATTTTATGTGCTTTTTTTGTTTTGTTTTGTTTTTTGGTATCAAGAATTGAATTCTGGGGAGCTCAACCACTGAGCCACATTCCCAGCCCCTCAGCCCTATTTTGTATTTTATTTAGAGACAGGGTCTCACTGAGTTGTTTAGTCCCTCACTGTGGCTGAAGTTGGCTTTGTACTCGAAATCCTCCTGTCTCAGCCTCCCAAGCCTCTGGGATTGCAGGCAAAAGCCACCATGCCCAGAGTGATTTTATAATTATTTTTAAAATTAAAATCTTTTAAGATGTTAACTTGCAACTAAAATTCTTCCATAATATTATGTCATGGGAGGATTCCAGCAATGGCAATGATAAATCGTAGCAAAGTGATTATCTGATTTTAAACACAGTTCAATTTGGCATAAGTAATTTTGAAATGTTTGAACAAATCAATAAAATATCCATCCTAAAATTCACAACTGCTGTTATGGATAATAACATTTTTTTTCTTCTTTTCTCCCTGAATGACAAGTTGCTCATAAACAAATTTAAGCATTATGCACCAACCTGCCCTTTGATTTACTCCTCCTGTCTGTGTAATAGCATTTTTTCCTGAAAAACAACAAAAGTCAAATGAGAAAAGTGAAAGCAGAGAATGACAACATTAAATAATATTGAGTATTTCAATATCAAAGATCCATATGCTTCAGAACTTCAGAAACATGAAATAATTCAGTATGGAGTAATATAAAGAAAAATGAGTTTATATCATTTTAATTTCAGAATCCAAGTTTCTAATAACAAAACCATTTAAAAATCAATAGTGCCTTTTTGGATATATTATTTTAAATTCTCTTTTAAAAGTCTGTCTTCTGCCATTCAATGCATACTAAAACCAGATTATTTGCTTATAAGTTATATGAAGTCATTGATCCATCCATCCACCTGTCCAACCATCCATTTATCCACCCATCTGTTTAATCATATGTAACATATACTTCTGATGTGCCAAGTAAAGATAAGGTATAATCATTAAACATTTAGAGAATAAAGAAGATCTCTGCCTTCAAGGTGTGTCCTTTACAGTTAAGGTAATATGGGGATAGCTATAATTAACTGTGACAATGTAGGAAAACAGAAAGTGCTATGGAAATACAGAGGAAGGAGAAAGCCACTGCTTTTTAATAGGTGGAAGAGAAAGGAGACAGAGAAGTCTTCCCAGAGGATGTATTACCTTGAGGCATAGTGCAAATAAACACCTGGGTAGTGTTATATGTGGCATTCCCAGACATAGGTAGCAGCACATAAGATGGACAAAGGGGCAAGAACGACATTGTAAGACTCAGGGAACTGCAACTAATTTGGTCAGATTTAGAGTAAATACTGAAAATAGAGGTTCATTGTGAAAGAAGTTATGGCCAGTGAACAAGACACAGATAATGAAGGGGTCTCAGATCTGATGTTAAGCCTTCAGATGAAAGGAATGGGGAAATGTCCATGTTAAAAGCAGGGATATAGCAGATCTGGAATCAGAGAAAGTAAAAATTCTGGTGGCAGAGGTTGTTTTGTCTTCTAAATGATCTTCTCTGTATCCTGAACCTGCAGGTCAGAATGTCCTACTCTGGGCCTTATAAAAAATGCCTTTCTTTTTAACCACCAAAAGCCACTTAGAGGACCAGTAAACTCCTTCATGGGGTGGCCTCCATAAAACATGGCTGAATCAGGATAACATAATTACTTAAACATTATTAGCTGTTTTTAAAATTTTCTGAAATACCTTATTTTACTGTAATTCCTGGTTGAACTATTAGAAAAGAATTTTAAAAGTGTCCCTTAAATATTCCAACACTAAATTCAAACATAGGATTTCAAAACTCCCTCTATGGATTCTGAAGTCTCATTTTAAATTTCTTTCTCCTTTTTTTCAAACAGAAAAAAAGTTTGTATTCAGACATTATTCAATCTCTATTGTACTGTTCATCTTGTTTCTGAACCTCTTCTGCATAGACTGTCTTGAGCCATTTAATCCGAGGTTAATAAATGTTCACTATTGTCAAGTGTGTGATCCTTAGTACAACAGCTCTATTTTACTTGACTTTGTGTGGCTGGCGAACACTCCACACGTTATTTAATAAATTGTAAGCACTCAAATGGCTGATGAATAAATGAATGAACCCCAATTTAATCAATAGTTGCATTTAACTCCTTCAGTGCCTGAGATAATTTTATGTTTATAAACATTCACTACATATAGTATTTTTTTTAAAAAAAAAAAACTATATATAAAGGAAATTGGTTTTAAAATGTTCCACCATCAAAATAATACAGGCACTTGACTCACAGGAGACAATGTTTTAGATGTAATTATAAGTAGAGGATATAGTGAGGGAGTGGTAGAAAAGTAATTGGGAGGGGTTGCATTTGGAGTAAATACTATTCTCTATATTGATTGCTGTTAATCTGAAATATTTCTCTTAATTTTTTGTTTTAAATACATTTTGGGAGAAATAAAGGATAACTGGAAAAAATATACCAGATGAATACATACATAGACTGATTTTAAGAGCAAATGAAAATTAAAATTCAGATACTTGATTCTCTGTTAAAAAAGTAAAGGACTTTTCTTCCCTCCCTTTTCTTAGTGCATTTACTTGAGAAGATCTGTCTCCATAAGTACTTTCTCTTTTCTTTGAAATCTATATAAATCCTTCAGAAAACTCCATTGGGCTTTCCTGAGCTTGATGACCCAAAATACCTCCTTTCAGGCCTAGAAGTCATCTGTTTAAAATGTGAACATCCATGGGATAGCACCTCCATCTCCCAGCTTTTGTGGGAAGGTAGGATTCTCACTCCAAGGTCCAGAATTACCATTTGTCAAAAAGAAACATAAGTTTAATTGTTCTTCTCCATAAAACTAATAAACCAAGGAACACACCAATTATCTAGTGAATCTACTATGAATTATGTTTGAAAATGGTATTGCCAAGTCCTTTCACTTTAGGACTCTCTACTGTTTATCTTGACAACAGGGATGCAGAGTTGTACCTGATTGGCTATGCAACAGGAAATGATTTTCCCTTTCAATCTCTTAGTGGCAGACTGTGAAGTGGTTTAATGTTTGTTCTATAATAACATTATTTTCTTTCCTGTATATCATTGTAGCAAAATTTTCTGTGTCTGAGGGATTGTTTCTAATTCTATTTTCCCAATAATAAGTAGTGTATCTGTAATGCATGATGTCATCAACAACCTGCAATTCTCCTTTGTTCTCCTGTATAAATGAACTTACAGTATCAAATCCTTTCTACCTTTAATTCTCCATCTGGTAATTTATTGACTGAAAACTGTTCACATATTAGAGCTTTATTTTCCCCTTAAGTTTTCATTGTTAAGATTCTTGCTATTTTAGATCTTGCATTAGGGATGAATTTATCCACATACCTACCACTTAAAAGTCAAAGTAAATAACTATCAAAATTACTGTTTCCAGTCAGCTCCACATTGACAGGGGCCACTTGTGGACATGTCTGCTGGGCCAAGTGAGGAGGTCAGTGGATGGGTGCCCCGCTGCTTCTTGACAACTTCAGAGACTCTGCTTCTATTCATTCTATATAGGAAGCACCTGCATATTTTTGTTTTATTTTTGAGTGGCTTTCTTTGCATAAAAAAGATATAAATTTAATCCTAGTTGCACAAAAATATTGTTCTTACTGTTTTAAATAGTACCCCATATTTCTTATGTTTAAATATTTGTGGGAGGATGAACTTGAGGAGAAATGTGAAATTGACTTCACCTAGGAACTCAACCTGAGAAGCTGCGAAATCATTGAAACTTCTTAAAATATGTTGACACTTTGAATGTGAAAGAGAGGTAAAAATGTAAAAGGATCACCCATGAATCAAAAGGAAAACACTGAAAGTGGACTTTGACATTTCTAAAATAGTTTAAATCCTTTATGATATGATAAAAACTAGAAAATATGAACTATTGCACCTAAAATTTTATTGATTGTTTTTGAAATATTATTTCAAACATAATAGGCCATATCTATTTTGGAAGAAAAGACAAGAAAGAAATGGCTAGAAAAATTAGCTATAATAAAATGTTACAGATATATTTATTCAGAAAATTTAGATAAGATTGGTTCCAGAGTCTTCCCCAGATACAAAAGTGTACAGATGCTCAAGTGTTTTAGGTAATTTTGCAAAATACTAACCTATGTAAATCCTCCAATATACTTCAAAATAATTCTAGATTATTTATGATGCCTAATACAGTGTAAATGCTTTGCATGTAGTTGTTACACTGTATTGTTTAAAGAATAATGACCCACAAAATTCAGTATATGTTCAGTATAGATGCAATGTTTTTTCAGTTTTTTTGATTGGTGGTTGCTTGATTCCAGGTCAATGGACCATGGGTAAGGTGGGCCAACTGTACTCCAAGTTTTAGATATATATTTTAAATATATTCTTGAAAGTGATCCCTTTTGGGAATTGGTGATTAAATTGATCATCTTGAAAACACTCTGTCTTATTTTATGTATGAATAGCATATTCTCTTATTATGTGCAGGCCAAATTTTAGGAATACCTTATAAATAAGATTTTTTTACTAAGGGTTAGTTAATGCTATATCTATTATTTAAACTGATCTAGAAAGATGTTCTAAAACCACCCTGTGTTCCAGTATGTCTCAAATATTTTTTCTGAGAATGTCATCATTAGATGGAAATTAACAGAAGAATATATTTTAAAAATCTCTCTTAAAATTTATTTTTAAATAAGGAATATTAAAATTAATTTCTCCAAAACATATTCATTTATAATTAGCATCAGAATAATTTGGATGCTTATTAATAATTTATAAAAATCTCAAGTCCTGTCCCAGACATAATACATATTTTATTCATTTTTTAAAAACTGAAGAACTACTTCTTAAAAAATATTCCTATAGTAAATATACTAACTTGTTAACTTAAAAATTCAACAAAAAATTTGGTCACAGGATATTTTTCTCTCAAGTTTCTGTGGAAGTAGTATTACTTTGCTTTGAAAAATGCTGCATGTTTTCTAATATTTTTATAGTTTTATCACAGGAATTCCCATGTTATTTTCCAAAAGTTTAATTAATTCAGCAATCTAAACTTAAAAAAAACTGAAAAGAATAAATTTCAGGCAATCTTCAATAAGAATAGATGGTAACTGCATAATTCAATAATTTTCTTTTTGTGACCCTTGGATGCATATGAGTTTTTCTTTCAAATACAATTTTACCAGGAAATGAAAAAATAAATATCATTAAAAAGAAACATTAAACTGAGGGGAGCATTCTCTTTCCAATCTCGCTTTGGATGAAAGGAAAATGTAGCACACAGCCTGGAGACTTAAACTCTGAAGAATATAAGTGAAGTCACTTGCAGTCTGGCAAGATAATTGTTTTTAACATACTTCTAAAGAAATTAAAAAGGTATTGAATGAATCAATTTTTTTAAATGACATGAGAATATCAATTATTCTAATAGTAAGTTCCTTGAAATTGGTGCAAAATAACTAGAGTAAGGAACATGATAGAATGAAGACTATTGTGATTTAATAGACTTTCAATCCTTTTTTAATTTTTTTTATTTTTTAAATTTATTTTTTAGTTATAGGTGGACACAATATCTTTATTTTTTTATCTTAATGTGGTGCTGAGGATTGAACCCAGTGGGCCTTACACATTCGAGTCAAGTGCTCTCCCTCGGAGCCACAATCCCAGCCCCTAAACTTTCAATCTTTAAAAAAATGAATAAAATCCATCTCAAGGTACCAATGGGGTGGAAAAAGCTATATGAAAATTAGGACACTATAGATGGTGTTGTCATGGTCTGTATGACTTTTCCTTATATAAACTAGAGCAGAATGAACATATTTTAAACTACTAATGAAGAAAGAAAAACAATCTTTTAAATAATGAAAGTCAAATATTTTGATAAAGCAAGCATATGTTACTGGTGGCAATAAACTAAATGTTTGTTGAAAACTTATATGTTGAAAACCTAATACCTAGTGATATTTGGAGGTGGGTACTTTGAAACAGGTCATTATCTTGACTGTGATAATTCTTTTATGTCATGTGTTAACATCTAATCAAATTAGAACTTGTAGAAAATAAATAATCTTGTAAGGTATAAATAAAGTAGCAGGAACACACAATTCTATCCATCAGAGCAATCATTTGTAATACATTTCTAATAATATTGCTATCCATTTTTTCTGTGGTTGAAGTCACACTGTATAAATAATTAAATATCATGTATACTTCAATTTAAATTTTATTATTTACTATTTTCCTGCAATTTTAAGAAACCTTTACACCCATTTATTTTATAAACAAATTGTTTTGAATTCAAAGGTACATTCTACTTTAATTACATTTTCTAATGTTAAATATAGCAATGTTTATATTTTCAAAAATATAAATTAAGTTTCTGTGAATATGTTTATGCATTTGAAAAACACGTGCATAAGATAGGAAGCAGAGATATGAAAACTTTTAATTCTCACTGAAAACATTTTCAAATGAAGTTTCGGAAATCTGATTCCAAGTATGAATAAAGAAAGGAGATTCTTGTCATATCTATGCTAAGTTTGAAGGTAATTACTTGCAAAATTCTTCAATAAGTTAAAAGTTAGCTCATTATTTTTATTCTGTATGATTCTGTGTCACATTAATACATGCAGATCAAAGAAAAAGAAATCACAGCAAAGAGTAAATAAAGTAACCCTATTCTCAGCAGAATACTATATAAATTGTTATCATCTCTAGCCAAGTATTTACAAAAAATTTTAGAAGGCTGCAGTATCAAAAGAGGAAAATTCTGAATGTCAAGAAATGTAGTCTACATAAGTACACGCTTAAGTGTACTCTCACTTCAGTTTTATCACCTGAATCAAAAATCAGTCCTATATAGATTTCCAACAATCTAATCATAGACAGGCATTATCTTCAAGCCTGCTTTGCTTCTTTCAGGTATCAATTTTAAGAAAAATGTGCAAACTTCAGGTTGTCTTGGCAATCTTATCCATCATCAGTACAAGAGGTTGAGGAATTCAAAAGACTGATCTTTATTTGTTTTTCAATTTATGATTTTGTCAAGATATTTTTGCAGTATTATTTGCTTATCCACTGAATACCATCTCCATAGAGAATTCTTAAACTCTTATCCAGTCATGAATGTGAGCTAATTTAGGTCTTAAAGTCTAATATGATTGGCAAGACCCTGCAGTAGTTGCCAATTCTTACTAAGTTTCTGATTTCTGGGCATTGACTGAGGTTGCATCTTTCGAAGAATGAAATGTTTCATATAGTTGAAAAGTTTAGGATTGATGTTTCTTATCTTAACCTCAATAATGTAGAGGTTTGTCAAAACACCTTAAGGGCATTAGAACTCCTTTCAGAGTTGGCCTCTTTAAATGTTTCCAAGTCCAAGAATTTTTTTTTTCCATTTTTTGAATTGGAATCCTAGTGTTCACTTAGATTTAAGAAGGTTCTTTTGCTTGGATTCTCATTCACTGTGAACCTTTTATACCTTCTTAGTAGCTGATGGAACATATTGAGCTTCATGTCAGTGTAAATGTTCTTATCTTCACTGTGAGTTAACACTTTCCATACAGTATGGACACTGTAGAATTTACCTTTCAGAAATGATGGAGGAACATGATACATTCTGAATATAACATCAGATACTCAAGGTAGGAAAACAGTTGGCTTTTCAATTTATGCTTGACTAAAGGAAAGACTGAAAAATCACTGAAAACTGCAGTCCTCTCATTACCCTACATTCATCTACTGAGGACAGAACTAAGAAAGAGTCTGGTTGAACTGACCTGAAAAATGATTCTTGTTAACTTCTATCAGGAAAGAACTCTGTATTTATATATAAGGATACTATATATTTACACTTGCCAGTTTCCACAAAAATGACAAGAATTATATTCACCCCTCTGAAATAGAAAATGAAATTGATCTTGGGGATTGCTAGAAGTTGAAATTTGAAAATAATTATTTTATCCTCTCTCTAGGTAAATCTACCCTGAAATGATATAAGGGGTCTAGAGAACCAGAAAGCTTACCACATTAGGCAAACTAATTAAATAGGAGGGAAAATGCCCAAGATACACTAGATTTTGGAAGAAATAACAATTTATTTTTAGAAAGGAATACATTTATTGCTCTAGGATATTGTAAAAGACAGACTCATCTTAATACACATTGAGATGGAATGAAATAAATTTTGAAAGTACCTGAAGGGCATCCTGATACTCAGTCTCTCTGCGTACTTGCACAGCGTGTCCCATGGGATATGGATTTTAATGAACATTATATCAGGGTTTGCAACAGCTGGCTGCAAAGGATAGCAAGACAGACATCATTACTTAGAATCAGAACCGACTATAGCATACCATTGTTTGACTTGGAAGGAAGAAATATTATCCCATTGCTTATGCATTGATCATTCTCACTGATTTAAATGAATTTATATGAATAAAAATCTCTTAATGGAGAAAAACTTTAATAAATGTAAAATGCCAATGAAACCGGCTAAGGCCTTGACAGTCTTAGACACAAATGCCTCAGGAGAATAGCCTGTTAAAATTATGAGATCAAAATCACCCAGGCAGGACATGATTAACCAACCCACAAAAGAATCATGTGACCTCTGAAGAGGCATGAGGATCATCTATGCTTATGCAAAAGAACCCTAAAGCTTCATAAAAATCAACAATCAGCTTCTCAATTATCCACTCCTAAAAATTTCCCCACTACCAACCAATAAAAGAACAGATTTGAGCGTATCTCTTGCCTTCTAAGTCCTTAACCCTCAAAAAAGCTTTATCATTTTGCAAAACCTCAGTGCTTTGGTACTGCCTTCTATGTGAGTCAGGAAATCAGCACTTACTTGATATCACCATTGTATACAAGGAACAATCACCTATGTAAATCAATGAATTGTTTTAAATTAATCATTGTCAATATCCAGATTCTTCAATTAAATAATTCTGAGCCAAATAAGTATCTCTAGCTAGGCATAGGAGCACACATCTATAATCCCAGAGGCTAAGGAGGCTGAGGCAGAAGAATCATAGGTTCAAAACCTGCCTTAGCAATTTAGCAAAACTCCATCTCAAAATTAAAAACAAAAATGGGCTGGGATGTGGCTTAGTGGTTAAGAACCATTGGGTTCAATCCCCAGTACCAATGTCCTACAAAAACAACAAAATAACAACAAACAAACAAAACAAAAAACAAACAACAAAAAACTAAAGATCTCAAGTTGTTCTTTTTTTATGAAATTATTTTTAGTTATGTAATATTACTACGGACTCGACATCATGATCCTCTTATTTCTGTTCAGAGAGGGTAGAAACACTGCAAATTCTCACCAATGATTACTTAATTACTTAATTAATTTCTATATACTTTTTTTAAATAACTACTACTAGATTTTCAAAACTACTTACTAGTTTCAATGATACACCTGGAAGAAAAATGGACTATGTAAATCATACAAACCCAGGACCTCACAGAGCTGTCAAATTTGCATGCCTGTTCTGGCTTTTTTATCCATTTCTGTCTGTATCAAGACACAAGGATTTAACTGCCTTTTATCTAGACCAGAGGAATTAAGCAGTCACGAGGGCAGCAAAAAAACATCTATAGGCATTTTTTACAAAATGAGGAACTCTAATCTAATCCTTATAAATGCCAGAATTAGATCCACTTTATGTAAATATTTTGATCACACACTAGTCCGAGGGTTAGAGGGTTAGATGCTTTTCTGAACAATCATTTAGATTCCTTGCTTTGTTTCAGCAACCCAACATAACAGCTAAATAACTGAAAAGCATTATATATCACTCATGTTGATATTCTACCTCTTAAAAAGGCCTACACAGTTATTGCCTATAATCCTGCCATGACTCAGGCCCACAGAGCATGAAACAAGTCTGTAGCATTCTAGCACTGAACACTATAAACCTTTTTTTTTTTTTTTTTTTTTGGTAACAGGGATGGAACTCAGGGACATTCGACAATTAAGCAATATATACATTCCTATTTTGTATTTTATTTAGAGACAGGATCTCGCTGAGTTGCTTAGTGCCTCGTGCTAAGGCTGGCTTTGAACTTGTGGTCCTCAAGCCTCAGCATCCCAAGCTGCTGGGATTACAGGCATGTGCCACAGACTCGGCTCTATAAGGCTTTTAATTCATGTGAACATCTGTAATAAAAGAACTGCTTTTTCCTTCCATATAAAGGCACTTACCAGGTTGGACACAGCTGAACTATTTTTTGGTAAACATTTTCATTTATATTTCAACTAGAAGTAACCTCTCAAAAAATACATAATTCTGAAAAGCTTAAAAACATGAGAAAAAAATCTATCACTTTAACTTAAAACCATGTTTTGAAATTAACATCTAAAATTTTTATATTCATAAAGTCCAATATTCAAAATATGGATAATTTCGTGGGCTTGCCAGAACATATTGTATTTGTATTACCAATATTTCTAAACAGTATTGTTACAGAACCATGTCACCAGACTAATATTCCAACCTAGAATCATTCTGAAATCTGCTCACTCTATTTATTTGGCAGGCACTTTCACAGATCACCATTTGCTTAAAAGTAAAGAAAGAAATGAAAAAGAAAGAAAAAGAAGTAGGGCCATTCCATGATCAAGTGAATTTTAGGCTTCTCCAATAGACTTCTCAAGACAGTTTGATATGTATGTACTTGCTGAAAATATACAAGCATACAATAAAGTATGTTGAAGATCAAACATTTTGCATCATGGATTGCTTTTCCATTTTACCTTACTGAGTGAGGTACTAGTATCTTGCAAATCATGATGGGGGGTGGGTAACATAAGGTGCGATCATGCCAGTATAATTTGAAAAACCTTTTCCTACTTGGAATTTGTTTGCTTCAAATTAAAAGTAAAGGATTATAAAAACCATAATCAACAGACACAGAAATAGGCTTAGTATGTCACAAATATCTATACACCTTTTAATCAGTTAATAATCAAGGGAAAGAAGAACATTATAAGGTTGATATTCCAGGCGCTTTTCCAGACTTTGTGGAAAGGTTTAGGTGTAGAAGTTGTATAGATAACAAAACATTTTCAAGGCTCTGGATTTCTGTAGTTTAGCCATATAGCCCTTGTGTAGCATGCTGGAGGCCCTGGGTTCAATCCTCAGCACAAGACACAGTCTTTTTGTAATATAAAAAAAGATTAAGTATTCATCTATTTAAATCACTTCTCCATTCAGGGCCAGTTAAAGATGCATTCCATATTTTATTATAACTCTTCCTACATTATTAATTCAAAAGTTCTTATATTTAAAATGATAATAAAGATCTTTCTTTTGCAATTGTGGTGTCAGCTACGGGTGCTACACCTACTTGCCTTCCACTTACCAAGCACAATTTAAATGTCTTCTATCCTAACTGCCTACTTAGAAGAAATCACATGGACTGGTAGAAAAACGTACAGGGTTTAGAACCTCAGAGACTTCAGTATACATTCCTTTTCTACCATTTCTTATCTTTAAGAAGTTTAAACTGATTAGGTGACCCCTCTGATGCACAGTTTCCTCACGGAGGAGTAAAGACAGTGATCTCTGCCTCATAGGGCTTCTGTGCCATGAGAGACGGAATTGCAGTGCCTGAGACTGATCAGTTCTTAATATGCTCCTTCTTATGTGAAGGGCATGCCTCTCAAATAGATGCCAGCCAATATGCCAATGAATCTCAAAGCTTCCCTGCAGTCTTTGTCTTGTTTCTTCCCCTTAGGAAGTAGTTGCCTGGTTCTTCTTTGGTAGATCCTGTGTCTTAGTTTCCTATGCTGTCCCATAGACCTTTGAATCACACAACCCTAAAGCCAGTAACAACCTATGACTTAGGAAAAACTCTGAAGTACAGTGAGTGACCTGAATCAAGATTTTAAGTTAAGTGGTTAAATTCTTTTCCTCTGATAATATAAACTGAGAATAAACTCTAAAAACAAGCAACAACAAGATTATACTTCTATAGACTTTACAGTTGCTTTGAAAGATTTGTTTATCTGTACATATTTAGATTGTCTTCTGCTAGCACATTGATTATTCCTAGAAAGATAGGGATTCTTCATTTTGGATCATGCCATTTCTCAGAACTTCACTTCATCTGGAGTAAAATCTACTTTCTCCAGTGAAGTACACAGCTCTTCATATCTCAACCTGAGTGTCTCCACAACCACTTCCACCACTTCTTTCCCTCCCTCACTCCACTCCTGCCGTTGGCTCACTCACTACTACTTGCCTGTCCCTGTCCTATTCCTTTTACACCAATCTGTTTTTCCCTCTATAGTAGTTTTATTTTCTTATTAGTTATGCAAGTGTCCTAAGAAAAAGTACATTGTTTTGTTCATTGACATATCCACAGTAGCCATCTCTGTGTTAAACTCACAGTGGAAACTCACCAAGCATTTGTTGAATGAATGGATGTTGGACTTGTTTGGGCACACATTGTATTGAACTTATTCCTAAGCAAGAGATGATGAGGATAAGGAAACCAATAAGTCTGAACTGATCTGGAAGAGGGCATTGTGTCAGGATCCAAATTAGCACTATGAACAGCTTGCCAGCTACTGATTATTAATTCATCACTGTCAGCCATCAGGATGTGAAATAATCCAATAACTTTAAATAAAGGGATGCTCTGAAAGGAGGTTTCTGCATTAAGATGACTACTGTCAATGAGTAAAATGTCAATCTAAGTGCATACACAGAGCATGTCTAATTTTGTATGTTTTAACTTTAATATATATATATATAACTTTAAATGCAAACACACACACATACTACCCACCCCCACACATATATGTCTTTTTAAGTAGCATGGACTGTCTTGGTTTCTAACTTCCACAACTAACTTAATCTCTCTTTTGCTATACCTCCACTTTAAAAAAAAATGAAAGAAAAGTAGTTTCATTTTTTGCTACTGGGCAGGGGACGGTGAAGGGATATTGCTGTGAGGGAGAAAGAAGACCTTTCCTTTTGGAATCAAAAGCTGCAAATTTGTCACTATTTTTTTTTTCAACCCTGATATTAGCAGCCTTCTCAGAGGGAACGAAACACCCACAACCTTCATACTTCATTTTAGTACTTAATTATTCCTCCCCAAATTCCCAAGAGGTAGAATAGTTACTCCTGAGAAAAGAGGAAACTTAAAAATTATCTTTTTACAAAGTCACTCTGTAAGTTTTGGGCACAGAGCAGAAAGAGCATGTTTAATCCCATAGTTTTAAATCTAAGTGAAAGACAAAGCTGATGGGAATTGAAAATTGAGTTGGATTAA